TGAAATAAGTTTACTTCTCAGTCTCATAAAGTCCCCAGAAGTTCGTGATTAGTGAGTCGCTGTCCTGCAGGTAACGTTTCAGGCTCCTTCTGTCTTGTGAATCCACCATCCTCCATACTGGCTTTCTAGGTTGCCATGCTCACTTCAGTTATTCCAGTGGATGGAAGGGATCTTGCATGGGGGGAGGGGGGGTTTCATGGACCAGACCTTCTGTTGCATTGGCTGTAAATTCAGTCATATGTCTTCTCTGACTGTGGGGAAGCTCAGAACAATAGTTTAACTTAGTGCCCAGGAAAAAGAAGAAACAGGTTTGATGATAAGTTAGCCATTCTCTTTTTCAGGTAGCTATATGAGACTTATCTTCATATCCTCAGACCCTGGCACATAGAAGGCACTGAATATGTATCGTACATGTAGTAAATAACTGCAAAGGTGAGTAGGTGAACACATGAATGAGAAAGAGAAAATGAAGTAATGAGTACTCATGCCCCTTTTCAAACCAGTGTTCCCTTTTTTACATTATGCCAAGGATTTGCAAAATTTAATTTGTAAGCCAACTAAATTTGGGGCAATTTTCTTTAAATGCCCTTGTTTAAAATGTGTTAGTAGCTCGTATAATTTGCTCATGACACCAAAGGAAAACATTACATTACTACTTCTCAAAAAGTATTCTTGACAATACTGAATTTCCCCCAGCACACACAAGCCCTAGACAAAGTTAATGAAAGGGCTAGAGACAGGAGGTGTTGCCTGAGTCTTGTGTCTCAGAGGTTTGGGAATCACTGTACTGGTTTATCGGTTGTCACTGAATCATGGAAATCAGATCTATGCCTAAAGTAATTTGCAGATGAAGAATATTCAGCACTTGGAAGTTGACTACCACCCATCTGCCACAAACAGACCTCATATTTAAGCTTTTTATTAAAAGTATACAAACAAATATGCAACATGGTGAACTGTTACAAATTGAACTAATTAACTGTATGAGCAGGACTCCAACCAACATCAGTGCCCCAAAGCCTCCCACGTGCTTGCTTCCTGGCACTACTCCCCCAACTCAGTTGAATACTATCTTAGATTCATGGAATGAATTGATGCCAAGGATCTCAATATTATTTGAATTATGTTTAATTTTATTTTATTGCACTCTGATTAAGTTAAATTAAGTATGAGAATTTATTTGAAGATTTGGGGAAAAAATTACTCAAAGAATCAGAAAGCAAGCATACCTTTAAAATGACTTAGTGAATATCTTTTCTGAAAATATAAATTCTAATTATGTGAAAATCTGAATAAAACATTCAGTTTACTGATGACCCTGGGTTCCAATTTCCATTTTTATGAAGTCAGTAAAACCCAATCATTTTAAATATTAAATAGACTTACTTAGTGAAAATTCCATAAACAGAAGGTTAAAACCTACTTAAGTCCCCAAGTGTCTGCTGTCGAACTAGGCTTGTCTGCTTATTTTGAAAACAAAAAACAATACAACAGAGAGAAGATAACACCCACCAAGAACCTTGAGTAAAAAAGAAAGAGGTTAGCAGGTTTTTCAGTAAGGATTTGATTTTGGATGTAACCTTCAGAAATTTTCTGTGCACCAAGTGTAATTTCTCAAAGAAAACTCAATGTGACAGCTTTTGTTGACTGTTTTAAATTTTCTGAGAACTATCCTCATAAAGTCTGCTCTATCACAGAAGTGGCAGAATGAGATAAATGTCTACCTGATGAATGGGAAGGCCACAGCTGCAATCCTCTCATCTTTAGCAAAGCACCCTATGTCATTTCCTTTTCTCCTCCTGCCTATATGAAGTGAATTTTAACATACTTTTTATGCAAATTAAAGCATTAGCCACCCAGGTGACTGGAATTAGAATTTCTGATCCTCTACTTTAAGAAATCTTAATGCCTTTAGCCTAGAAAATACCAAAGAAAGCCATTATTGAGTTCTGGCATGGGAGGAAATAATAAAGGAGACATGGCAAGCACATTGACCAATAAGTTTGCAGACTGCAGACTCTGAAAAGAATGGTTCTCTAAAGGAATTTTTGTAGGTTAAAAAAATTGGGGGTTCTGTTTACAAAGGTATTCTATGTGTATTATTCTTAAGATTGTTCGTAAGGTATGATACACACCCACACCCACATATTTTTATAATTGCTGAAAATATACCTCCTGGAATTATTTTCATGTAACATTGAATACCTTCATTAACAGGTTCCAACAGGTTTAATTAGGCAAAAGAGATGATTTCTAACATCTCTTTAATAGCTCACCATGGGTGCAACTATAATATAGTAATTGTTTACAATATATAAACTATACACTGGGAAACCATAAAAGCATAATAGTTTTTAATGTCAGTTCTTAATGCCTTTCAAAAATAATTGCTCCCATTTACTAGTATTTCATGTTGTTGTAGTACCTTACATATATTAAACTTTTAGTGGATTTTTTTAAAGGCTTCACAGTTTCAATATTTAATATTAAGGATTTGATTGATTTTTTTCCCAAAGGAGAAATTCTTCTAAGTTATAGTCATTTTAGTCATCTTAAATACTGTTATTTTAGAGTTGAATTTTGTTTAATGTCTTTGCAATATCTAGTGAAATGGTCTTACTAATTTTCTCCATAGCTTTATTATTATTTTCAGGGATCTTACAGTATTGAAACACCTTTACATTTTATTAATTAAACTTTATTTGGTCATATTATTAATTTTAAGTATGCTTTTGTATTCTATTTGTTAACATTTTAGTTAAGATTTTTATAACAACACTCACTGGTGAGATTGGTGGTAGTTTTTCTTCTTTTGTAACCTTTGTCAGGCTTGGGATTCATAAGCTTTCCTTCTCTTTCTATGCTCTGAGATAGATTAAGTAGTAGTGAAATTATCTGACCTAAATTTCTGGTAGAGTTATCCTCTGAAAATACTGAGCCTTTAGTTGCTAAGAACAATTACACATCCTTTTAGTGGAACTTCATTGGTGCTTACTAATAACATGGTCCTGTTAAGTTTAGCTTAACGCAAGTGATTTTATTTCTGTGTACTTCTTGTTATGGATTCAATTTTTAATACACAATCAGACTAAAGATGTTGTGTGATCTAAGTCACTACAGTCAGATCACTTTGTTAAAAGAAGGTTCACTTATTATTATGACTTCCATAATCTAAAAACTACACTTGAAAACATATTTAGATTTTATTAGCTAAATTCATCAAGGTCTTTAGGAAAAGAGACACACAGAATTACTTTTGATCATATGAGCTTATTGTGCAGAAACATACAGGCAAATGACATAAATAATTAGCTAAAGAAGTGAAAAGTAGTTGCCTTTAGGGAGAGAAAATTCAAGAGGGTGGGAGCAGTAACTAACAAATCTTGGAGGACTGTTTGATTTCTTGCTTGATTCCCATTTTAGGTATTTGTTAATTTCTGACTGAAAAAATTAGTATCAACTTCTCCACTTCTGTCCATGGGCACCATTCCTATCCAATGTCACAATTTTTCTTGAATTGATTATTTTCTTTCATCTCTTTTGTTTCATTCACCAAAACTCCTATTATTTTGTTCGAACTCCTAGATTGTCCTCTAATTTTAATACTTGATTCAGCAATTCCACATCAAGGTATTTATCCAAAGAAGTGAAATCACTATTTCAAAAGGGAATCTGCACCCTCGCATTCACTGCAGCATTATTCACAATAGCCAAGACATGGAAACAACATAAATGTATGTCAACAGATGAATAAACAAAATGTGGTGTACTGTGCAGTATTACTCAGCCATAAAAAAGAAGGAAATCCTGCCATTTATACCGACATTGATGGACTTTGAGGGCATTATGCTAAATGAAGTAAGTCAGAGTAAGACAAGTACTGTATGATCTCACTTTTATGTGGAATCTAAAAAACTGAATTCATAAACAGAGAACAGATTTGTGTTTGTTAGAGGCCAGAGGTACAGGCTAGGGGAGGTGGTCAGAAGGTACAAACTTCCAGTTATCTAAGTTCTGGCAATATAGTATACAGCATGGTGGCTATAGTTAGCAGTACTGTATTGCATATTTCAAAGTTTCTAAAAGAGTGAATCCTAAAAGTTCTAATGACAAGAAGAAAATTATAGCTGTGAGGTGATGGATGTTAATGAAACTTACTGTGGTAATCACTTCACAATATAGACATATATCAAATCATGTTGTACACCTTAAACTAGTACAGTGTTATGTGTCAAATGTATCTCAAAGAAACTGGAAAGAAAGCATAAAAAATTAAGTTGCATAAAATTTTTTTTTTAATTCAGCTGTGGAAAATAAATTGCAGACATTATGACGTCTCACCCCTAAATTCTTCAGCTTGCATTTCCTAAGAAAGAGGGTGCTCAACACTTACACTACTATTACCACATGTAAGAAAATGAAGTTCTCTAATATATAACAATATACAGTCTATATTTAAATTATTCCAGTTTTTCTTAAGCAGATCTTTTATTCCTGTTTTCATTTCTTTTATTGGTTCAGGATCCAGTCAAGGCTTATTTTGTCTCTTTTGCCCTTTAAGTAAGAATAGAACCTCTGCTTTGTCATTTACTTTCCATAAAGTTTGTGTGTGTGTGGGTGGGTGTGTATGCAAAGAAAACTGAAAAAAAAATTACGTTCTTAAATAATAAAAGCACTAATTTTCAATAGTGGAATAATTAGTAATTTTTACTTCAAGTTCTTCCCTTTTGTATTTTCCAAATTTGTTGTAAGCAGTGTTTACTACTTATAAAATGAGGAGAAAACGTGGGGAAACTGTTAAATTTGTACTTCAGAGTGAGAAATTTTATTTAGTTAAAGGAGAGAATTTTCTGGTAATTTCAGTGAGCCACAAAAGAAAAGGAACACTTTAATTTATTCACATCATTTATTTGTGTCTTATTCAAAGATAAAGATAGAGAATGGCCTCCTCAAAATTTCTTCTGTTTGTAATTGTTACTATTACTTTCTTCTTTAATCAGAGTTATATACACACCTGGCCACACTGATGATCATATGGCTCTGCTTTTAGAAGAGGAAAATGCTCTCTTTTCTGGAGATTGCATTCTAGGTGAAGGAACAACTGTATTTGAAGACCTCTATAATTATATGGACTCCCTAAAAAAGTTATTGAAAATCAAAGCTAATGTTATATATCCAGGTAGGTAGTGTTTAAATATTTTTTAAGTTTTTTTTTCTTTTTTTTGTTTGCTTTTTGATTTTTCTTTTTTTAATTTTTTAAGTCCACCCAGTGATTTGTGTCATATAATGAAGAAGGCTCATTTTGGTTTTTCTGTGTGTGCTTTGTGTTTTGGCCTTGAAGCAATATACATAAGCTGCTTCTTTAAATTATACCCCTAAGTATTTTCTAGCCATCCAATTGGAAAGGTGGCCAAGAGTTATATTAAAAAATTTTTAGAAAAATATTAGGGTAATTTTTTAACATCTACACAGCAATTAACAGAACTGTTAAACAAAAGAAGTAGATTTACATTGGAACAAGAAAATGTTTTCATTCCATAAGCTATTTTCAGTTTTGCTAACTTGATACCTATTGTGGACCACATTTTAGCCATGTAATCTTCGGCAGTATTTAACCTCTGAACTTTAGTGTTTTAACTTCAGACATTGAGATATCAATAACTTCCATATCAACTAGAACTGTATATTTATTTTAATTCTCCAGAGAAAGAAACCTGTTATTAGTATGTCAGCTGTCACTGACATACTACACTGCACTGCTCTACAGTATAAATCTCCCCTCTCTCCTAAAAGCTTAGAAAGATACAGTACCCACCATGAGGGCCAAGAAGGAAAAAGAGACTAGGGTATTTAATTTTTTAAGTCCTTCTAAGTTGGTCCTAACCAAAGAGCCATGGAAAGTTCTGTAAATACAGTGTCTTCAGTACCCTTATATTCTCTCATGAGTTTCTACTGCAGAGGGGGTAGAAACATACAGTGGAACTGGGCATTTGGGTTAATATTATGACATAAAAGAAGTGGAAGCTGACAGCTATTTTTAAAAAGAGAGTAGATATTTAATGCACCCACATTCAAGCAAAGCTAATGATGCTCCCTCTCAAAGGTTCTTAGAACGTTTGCTTTAGTGAATCCAGTGAATTGGTTTATTAGCACAGCAGGAGCTTATATGTAAATTTTGTTCTGTAGCCATAGCTACCACATATAAAAGCCTGCTACCCATCAGGTACCATGCAGGGATCTTTGTGGTGGTGTCCTCACAAAAACCCAATGAAGTAGATAGTGGTGTCCTCATTGTACAGCTGAAGAAACAACCTCAGAGATTCAGAAAACTTTCATGGCCACAGCTAGTAAATCATAGTAGATATTTTAATCAAAGCCCATGCTCTTTACATGATAATAGGTTAGTCTGCTTCTAGATACTTTTTTCTCACATATTTTAAACATCCCTTTTGCAGACTTGTGTAATATACTAATTTGTCCTGTCTTAAACAGCAAGTAAATTTCAGTATAACTCAGTCTGGGCTGTCAACATTTCTGAATTTCTTGAAGTTCTGTGTGGTTCTTGTAAATTTTTTAGATCCTAGTCACTTATATCTTGAAGCTACTTTTTACATTCCCCTTTTCAATCTTTTTTAAGTAAGCGGAGCACATAGTGGTTAAAAGCATAAAGTGATTAAAAGCAGGAAAGTCAGAACCCCAGCTATACTCATTCTTAGCTGTGTAACTGTGGACAGGTTATTTACCTTCTCTATGCCTCAGTTTCAGCTATAAAAAAGGGATTAATAATGGTATCTACTTTGTGGGATTCTTGTATGAATAATGTATATTAAGCATTTAGAGCAGTCCCTGCAAATAATGAGCACTCTATAAATATTACCTAGCATTACTGTTGTGGTTGATGTTTTCATTAGTAAATTTTTATTAATTTTTTAATGTACACTATAACATTGTATGTGATTTTATTTGATACAGTTGTTTGACATTGTACATAATTTTTAAATCTTATATCTGTAGTTTTCCAAATAATTCATGTTTGTTATATATTTAGTATTTTTTTCAATGCATCATATTGATTATTTTTAAATAGAATGAATTCAGTTGTATTTAATATTTTTTATCTGGTTGAAATAATTTTTATATTTATTCTAATTTAGGACATGGCCCAGTAATCCATAATGCTGAAGCTAAAATTCTACATTACATTGCTCACAGAAATATCCGAGAACAGCAAGTTCTTAAAATATTTCATGATAATTTTGAGAAGTCATTTACAGTAATGGAGCTTGTAAAAATTATTTACAAGGTAAGTTTCATTTATCTTATTTTTATTTGTACATAGCCACAACTTTATTAGATAGTATATTTGATAGACTATACATATGGCAAACTTTTCATGCCACAGAACAAAATAAATGTTTGTTTTTAAGTAATGTCACTTGTATAGATTTGAGACCAGCAATCTCAACTATTCTAGAACACAGAAGCTGAACAAAAACTGGCCCAGAGAACAAAAATAACCATTCTGAGCCATCATTCAAACTTATACTTAATTCTGTAGGAGAGATCACTACCAGTAGCCTGGTGGCAAAGTTTTGTAATGATTTATGTATTATTTTAGCCATCTTGATTATCTGGTGTCCAACCATGTAGCAGTTGAGAAGGGATGATCTACTAGAGACAGATATTGGCATAATAGCAGTAAGAAATAATAATGATGCCTAACAATGGAGGAAAAGGAGAATGTGAATGTACATGTGAAAGAACATGAGTAGAGTGATTTAGTATATAGAAAAAGAACCACCTCAGCAGTCTCTGAGCACATCATGGTGAGATAGCACTGTGTGGCAATCAATTGATATAATTCAGGTTTTCAGTAAATGTTAATTAGATATCTTCTGTGTAGGCAGTACAACTTAGAGATTAAGAATGTAGGCTTTGGAATAAGATTACACAGGCTTAAAGCTTCCACTACCACAATTTGTACAGCCATCAGGTACATGAAAGTGTAACTAAATGTGAACTTGAAAAGGTACCTGATGTTGAGTTATAATTAATGACCATAATGTCTCATAGGCCAAAGTTATCAAAAACTCTTATCATATTCAATGTGCTTTGTTTTAAAAGGGAGGGATGAATGGTTAAAATATCTGAAGATAAAAAGTGCCATTGACAAAATGGTAAATATTTAAATTCTGTGAAAGAGTTCATTCCCTCATAATACTCAAGTATATCCACTCTAGACTATACACTGGTACACTAGTGGTTTTTTTCCCAATCTAAGAACAGACAACAGAGCTCTCTGGTAACTGTCACAGACAAGTCATCAAGCAACTGCCCATGCCTAAAATATACTGATTCTGTATCAGAGGTATATTCAGTGTATGTAAGTGTGAAGAATCTGGTACGTATCAATTGGAATTAGGATTATAAAGGGATGTATTCATTCAGGAAACATTTACTGAGTACCTTTCAAAGGACTCATGACTGAGTGAAGACAGATAAATTCAATACATAAAATACTTTCTCTCATAAAAGCTCCCCTTTTTTATCACGTTATTATGTGCTGGAAACTGTACTACTTTACGTTTACAAATGTAATTTGAGGTATTTAATTAAAATACCTTGAATTTTCACTACATGAAGATACTATTAAAACTGACTCAGAAAGTGTGAGCTAAGTAACTTCTCCAAGGGCACACAACTACCAGATACGACATACTCAAATGTGAGATGACAGGCACACAAATCTTGTTTTGTGTCTCACACCAAGCTTCCTCCAAGGCTATCCACAATATATCAGGACATAAAGGCATGAATTCTTCCTGATGAAGATTCAGGACATAAACGCATGAATTCTTCCTGATGAAGATTCAGGGTAATGAGGTATGTCTGCAAAAACTCAAGAAACTTAATTATTTAGTTGGTTCTTGAAGAAGCAGCATTTCCCAGGCCAGAGTACAAGGGAAAGGAAGCCATTCTAGACAGAAGGAAAGATGTGTTCAAACACTACAGGACCCGAGGGGTAATAAAAGAGCATTTTGTGTGTCTGAAAACCCCCAAAGAAACTACATATGACTGGAGTACAGAATGCATATGTGGATGAGCAGGAAGGGTGTCCCAGGAAATGAGGTCAGAAAGACAGGCATAATCAGATCATGGAAGCCATGACTGCCATGCTAAAAACTTTGGGCCTTAGCCAATAACCCAGAAATGATCACTCACAGATCTGAGGCAGGAGAGTCACAAAATGCAATGTGGAAGATCACATTGGTGGCTACAGTATATGGTATTGAAGCTTAAGGGAGAGTTTGGGGTTGGAGATTTTTATTTGGGAATCAATAACGTGACATTACTGTAGCAAGTTGGTTGAGTAAAAAGAGGAGAGTCAATGATACAACTCATTGTAAACATCAGTGTTTAAGAGAAGTCCAAGGAAAAGTATCCAAGGTGAAAACTAAATGATAAGAAAGATAACAAAGGGAAATGTGCAGATATTATGTATCCTAATAAATCAATCATAGGGCCAACTGTCTGTAGCATCATCAAAACTATTTAGAATAGTTTTTACATTTATTCATTCATTTGTAAGAAAGTTGAGTTCCCACTATATGCCTATATACTGAGCACTGGTTATTCAGTAGTGAACAAAACAGATACAGCTATATGTCGTTATGGAGCTTATATTCTATTTTATCTATAAGAATATGTATAAGAATCTAGTGGCCAAAATCAAGACATGTACAAGGTGAAATTGTTCTGGTTAGTACCATATTAAAATGTTTTTAAATTAAAATTTTCTTTTGTGTTGCATTTTTCTCTAAGTGTCAAAAGGATTAATACTTTTAAAACATGAAATTTTCTTTCACTCTCATTTTTCTTTCAGTATATTCCTGAGCATTTACATAAAATGGCTGAACATAACCTCTTGCTTCATCTGGAAAAATTAGAAAAAGAAGGAAAAATATGTAAGTATATTTCCAAATTTTAATTATTACTAGCATTAAAAATTCTTTTTTACAAACAAACTAGTTTCCTTTTAGGAAAAATAATGACCAGCAGAGTCTTCCCTTGAATGTCACTGTAAATTAGAGAGATTAGCCCTAGGAAGGGTTTAGTAGCAAAGAGCCAGTGAATGGACCACAAATTGGAACCAAAAGCTGCCACAGGTATTAGAATCTCATTTAGGGTTTCCAGTCCTCACCCATCAGAATGACAATAAAAGATATGTGTTGGGAAGATAGCTCCTCTTCTCCCAAGCTACAAGACCATAAAAGCATTTTAGAACAGCCAATTGTAGTTGATTTTGGAACAGCCATAAATTTTAGCAGTACCGAAGGCAAACTGACAGATATTCAAGCAATACTTCGTTAATTGTTTACTAGTGTTAGATTAATGCATCAAATTAATAATCTTTATAGAATTTAATTCTGAAGATCAAAAGGTTCAAAGCTTGAATTTTACAAAGAAGCTTCAGGAATGCTTTTATATGTACAAAAACAAATACCAACTTTATATTGAGCAACAGAATTATTTTAGGAATGAATGCTTTTTCTAGCCATGTGGTAATTTAAAATACAGTGAAATTGGTTATTTGTTCTTAAATTTTTACTCTCTAATTTTCTTTCCACAGTTGGTAACCTGGATCCTGACAAGAAATGGAAAGCCAATCTTTAGTTTCAGATTGACTGCTTTTGATGTTTTGTTTTTAGAGAATGGTATGTTTTCTTAACCATTAATTATTTACAAAGAATATAGAGTGTAGAATATTGAAAATAACCCTAGACATACTTTTAAATAATGTCACATTTACTCTAAAATATAAGTTACATTTTAAACTATACTGTGGGTTATATAAGTTTTAATCTGCAATATAGGCTTATCTAGCCTAGGTCTAAAAATTCAGAATAGTTTATCAACTTTCAATAGATGATTAAGTCAAATGGTTATTTTAAAAACAATAAAATTTATGTAATTTAAACTGGATATTATTCTTAGAGATTAGTTTTCTCTTACCAGTAACCATACCACTTTCTCTGTTTCAGTTAACAGCTCAGATTTCTATATGATCCTTCCTTTTTCAAAACTCTATCATAATAGTAGATAACAGCTTTATTTTCATATTTCTGTCAATTATATCACAGTTTTGTATTAGTTCTACAGTTTTCTATCATATATTTCATTTTTTTCTTTTTGGTGCCAAAATCCAGAATCAACATGTATACTTTGTATAAATGGTATCCCACAGATGAGTCATGGACATCAACTTCTGGTACTTGAAAAATAACTAAATTCCAAATTGAAGGCATTATATAATAAATCATTATTTCTATGATTTTAATAAATATTTCTTATAATAATTGTTTAATGTGTAAACTGTTATATAATATTATTATTACTGTAATTATAATAAGTAATTATTTCCATTAGGACAACCAATTTCCAGGCTTAGGTTTTTTGGGTTTTTTTTGTAACAGGGGAATTATTATTATTATTATTTTTGGTATCATTCATATACAATTACATGAACAACATTATGGTTACTAGACTCCCCCCATTAGTCACTGTCCATCAGCATAGTGAGATGCTACAGAAACACTACGTGTCTTCTCTGTGTTATACTGCCTTCCCCATGCCCCCCCCAGGTAATCATAATGCCTCTTGTTCCCCTTATCCCTCCCTTCCCACCCATGCTCCCCAGTCCCTTTCCCTTTGGTGACTGTTAGTCCATTCTTGGGTTCTGTGACTCTGCTGCTGTTTTGTTCCTTCCGTTTTTTCTTTGTTCTTATACTCCACAGATGAGTGAAATGATCTGATACTTCTCCTTCTCTGCCTGGCTTATTTCACTGAGCATAATGCCCTCTAGCTCCATCCATGTTGTTGCAAATGGTAGGATTTGTTTTCTTCTTATGGCTGAATAATATTCCATTGTGTATATGTACCACATCTTCTTTATCCATTCATCTACTGATGGACACTTGGGTTGCTTCCATTTCTTGGCTATTGTAAATAGTGCTGCAATAAACATAGGGATGCATATGTCTTTCTGAAACTGGGATCCTGCATTCTTAGGGTAAATTCATAGGAGTGGAATTCCTGGGTCAAAAGGTATTTCTATTTTGAGTTTTATGAGGAACCTCCGTACTGCTTTCCACAATGGTTGGACCAGTTTATATTCCCACCAGCAGTGTAGGAGGGTTCCCCTTTCTCTGCATCCTCGCCAGCATTTATTGTTCTTAGTCTTTTTTATGCTGGCCATCCTTACTGGTGTGAGGTGATATTTCATTGTGGTTTTAATTTGCATTTCCCTGATGATTAGTAATGTGGAGCATCTTTTCATGTGTCTGTTAGCCATCTGAATTTCTTCTTTGGAGAATTGTCTGTTCATATCCTCCACCCATTTTTTAACCGGGTTATTTGCTTTTTGGTTGTTGAGGCTTGTGAGTTCTTTCTATATTTCGGATGTTAACCCCTTGTTGGATATGTTGTTTAAAAATACATTCTTCCATACTGTTGGATGCCTTTTGTTCTGCTGATGGGTGTCCTTTGCTGTACAGAAGCTTTTTAGTTTGATGTAGCCCCATTTGTTCATTTTTGCTTCTGTTTCCCTTGCCTGAGGAGATGCATTCAGGAAAAAGTTGCTCATGTTTCTATTCAACAGATTTTTGCCTGTTTTCTTCTAAGAGTTTTATGGTTTCATGACTTACATTCAGGTCTTTGATCCATTTCAAGTTTACTGTTGTGTATGGGGTTAGACAATGATCCAGTTTCATTCTCTTGCATGTAGCTATCCAGTTTTGCCAACACCAGCTGCTGAAGAGGCTGTCATTTCCCTATTGTATATCCATGTAGCTCCTTTATTGCATATTAATTGACCATGTATGCTTGGGTTTATATCTGGGCTCTCTGATCTGTTCCATTGGTCTATGGGTCTGTTCTTGTGCCAGTACCAAAGTGTCTTGATTACTGTGGCTTTGTAGTAGAGCGTGAAGTTGGGGAGCCAGAATGCCACGCTTAAAATAGTTTTTTTAATTTGCAATGCTACTGAAGACAAAGTTTAAAACTGTTTTTAAACTAACACATGATACTGAGTTTTAAGAAATTTAAGTTTTAAAAACAGGTTTCTTTAGGATGAATCATGAAGGAGAAAACTAAAAGATCTTGGCCTAAAATTTTTTGTTTTTCCTCCACTCCCACTCCATAATTTTAGCATTTGAAAATTATATGTGGAATTAAAAATTGAGAAACATCATTTGAGTGAATATTAATTTTGTGGTACTGTGGCCAAGGGAGAAAAGCACAACAATAGCAGTCTAAGAACAAAAATTAGAATTTGGAAAATCTTTTTCAAAAAGCTATAGGAATTTTTTAGTTAACATTGCAATTTTCATATAATATCCCCAAACAAAAGGATTATAAAATTAATCTGCTAAGACATTCATGTGGGCAAGGTCTGTTTCCTGATATATCCCAGGGGTAGAGCAATGCTTTTTACCTAGGAAGCACACAGTAAATACCTACAGAACATACTGCTCGATATCACAATCACTATCTTTTCAATAAGTATTAAAACTAAAACTCAAAATTGCCTTCCTGATTCCTTATTATCTTTCTCAAAATAATAATACCTTCATGTATCCATAAAAAGCTTGCTTTTTTCTGTATGTTACTTTTTTTTTTTTTTAGCAAAGCACAGGTACACTTCAATTCAGAAAAGGTTATTTCCAGAAGTCTGACAGTAAGCCCAAACAAAATTTTCTTTGAAAGGCTCCACAAGGACTGGTACACAGTCTATCTCCTTTGCTGCTATGCTACCCACTAGTCTAGTAAATGTTTGGTACACAGTACATTCTAAACAAACATTTGTTAAATGAATGGGTAAAATAACATTTTGGTAGTTTGATCCTATTGTACATTCACAACAGATTATTTGGTCCATAAGATCTCTAATGTGCAGAACGAGTAGAATTTAAAGGAACTATGGTAAAGAAACTCCTATGGAAAAAACTCTCTCTCTCTTACCCAGGAAAACCCTGTCAGAGCCCTACACTTCCCCCTACAATGAAACAAGACTCCCACTTCTGCCATCTCCTGAACTCGAAACCCATTTCCTCCCACTACAGGTAACTGGATACTAACTCCCACGGAGGGGGCCAAAAGGATGTGGGAATATTACTTCTCCCAGGCCCCCGAGGCAAACACAGGTCAATAAAGGTTTCCAAGGATTTTTACTGTTGAAGAAGTCTTTTTCAAAGCAATACTTAAGTTGCTGGTATAGGGGAAAAGGATATTTGGGACTCTAGGTTAACCATTTAACCCTAAATCTATAGAATTCTTAAGGCATCAAATGCGAAAGTAGTGTAATGAGCGTGTTATACAAATCATGGTGCTTTTATTTTATTTATTTATTATTTATTGATTCACTGAGGCAAAGAGAAAAATGGATAAACACAATGAGAATTTCAACAAATAGAAAACCTAAGAGAGCCAAGCAGAAGTCACAGAGCTAAACAACACTGAATTGAAAATACAATAAGAGGGGCTCAACTGCAGACTATATGAGACAGAAGAAAGGATCAGTGGAGCTGAAAGACAAAGCAATTGAACATACCCAGAGAAACAAAAAAAAAAAAAAAGAATGAAAAGGTAGAGTAACTTAAGGGACCTTTATTCAACATCAAGTGGAATAACATTCATCTTATAATGGTCCCAGAAAGAGAAAAAAGAAAAAGGCAGAAAGTTATGTGCAGGCATAACAGTTGAAAACTTCATGAAATTGGGGAAGGAAAAAAACAGTGAGGTCCAAGAAGCTAAGAGAGTTCCAAATAACATGAATTCAAATTTATAAGAGCCACACCAAGGTATGTTATATTTAAAACATCAAAAGTTAAAAACAAAGAAAGAGTCTGAAAAGCAGCATGACAAAAACAAATTGTTATCTGCAGAGGAAAGCCTGTTAATTCTAACAGCAGATTTTGTAGAAGAAACTTTGCAAGCCAGAAGCAAGTGGCATGATATATTCAAATGGCTGGCTGAAAGGAAAAAACTTCCAGCCAAGAATACCCTTATCTGGCAAGGATATCATTCACATATGAAGGAGAAAGAGTTATCTAGACAAGAAAACTTTAAAGGAGTTCATCACCAGCCTTATAAGAAATAATAAAGGGACTTCCATAAGCTGAAAAAGAAAGGTGTTAATTAGTAACAAGGAAAAATAAGAAAGTATTAATTCTCACTGGAAAAAGGTAAATATATAGTCAACATAGTGGATTAATCAGTTACAGAGCTAATAAGATAAAAGAAAAAAGTAGTAAGAAATAAATATAATTAAAATAACCAGTCAATGGATACACAAAATAAAAAGATGTAAAAAGTGACATCAAAAACATAAAACTTAGGGAAAGAGTAAAAAGTGTAGAGTTTTGGAATATGTCCAAATTTAAGTAATCATCAACTTAAAATACATTGTAATAAACATAGGAGAATATATGTGAACTTCAAGGTAATCACAAAGCAAAAACTTAAAGTATGCAAAAGAAAATGAGAAAGAAATCTAAGCATAACACTTAAAGCATAACAGGCTCAACAAAGACAGTAAGCAAACCAATAAGAGAAAAGAGAGCAAGTGAAGAAGAAAGTAACGGAGGGGAGCTATAAAAAGTGAGAAAACAATTAATAAAATGGGAACAATTACATACCTACCAATAATGACTTTAAATTCAAATGGAATAAATTATCCAATCAAAAAATATAGAGTGGCTGAAAGGACAGAAAACAAAAAAACCGAGAGGATGAGCCAATATGGCGGCATGAGTAGGGCAGCGGAAATCTCCTCACAAACCATATACATTTTTGAAAATACAACAAATACAACTATTCCTAAAAGAGAGACCAGTGGATACAATACAACAACCAGGCTACATCTACATCTGCGAGAATTCAGCATAGCACAAAGGGGATAACATACAAGCCACAGCCCAGGAGGACCCGATCACTCCCCGGACCACATCTGCCTGGCGGGAGAAATGCAGTTGGAGCGGAGAGAAAGTGGAAGCCCAGGACAGCTAATCAACCAGCTCTAGTAATCTACACCGGGAGGGCAGACACACATTGCATGATGTGCTGGATATTAGAGAAAAGGAAAAGCAAAATCTGCAAGCAGGTCCCCACAACCGGCTCCTCTGGGACAAAAGAAAAGCAAGTGCTTTTTTGAAAGTCTTAAAGTGACAAGTGCCTCACAGCTGGAAGGAAGTGTCCCGGCACACTCAGCCCAGCAGGCTGAGAATCCTGAGGAAATTCACGCACCCCAGCCCCCTGGGTAGGAACGCAGCCGTGAAGCCCCTCACAGTGATAAGCAACCTGCCAGTCATTCCCCCAGCCAGTGCAGCCCACGACACAGCAGCCCAGTAGCTGCAGACTGGTCACACGTGCCCGCTGCAGTGGCGGAGTTGCTGGGAAGCGGCCATGCCCCCCACCCCGCAGCACCACCCAGAATCTCCTCCCGGAGCACAACCGCCAAGGCCAGACTCAAAGGCCACCACCAGCTTACAGCTGCCCAGGGCAGGCAGAGAAATCGGGACAAGGAGCAAAGGGGCACTGCTCTTTCAGGAGAGCACACCTGGCGCGCCTACCACTCCGCACAGGGCTCTGGGCTATCTTGATGGCTACCCCGCCCACTGCAGCTTAGGGGATTAATCCGGATGCTGCTCCAGGAATGCAGTTAACCCACATAGGCAGCGGAGAAGGGAAGGTGACCAGCAAACAGGAAAGGACTTTCTTCTCCCAGCTGACACATGCACTACCTGTATCTCCATGAAAAGGTAGAAGAATTTGGTTCAGTCCAGAATTACCCAGACAGCCCCCGAGACAGGGTCTGAGGAGATAGATGTAACCAATCTTCCTAAAAAAGAACTCAAAATAAAGGTCATAACCATGCTGATAGACCTGCAGAGAAATACGCAAGAGCTAAAGGAGCAAGTAGGGAGGGAGAATACAGAAATAAAACAATCTCTGGAAGGACTTAAGAGCAGACTGGATGAGGTGCAGGAGGCCGTTAATGGAAGAGAAATCAGAGAACAGGAATACAGAGAAGCTGAGGCAGAGAGAGAAAAAAGAATCTCCAGGAATGAAAGAACATTAAGACAACTGTGTGACCAATCCAAATGGAACAATATTCATATTATAGAAGCACCAGAAGAAGAAGAGAGAGAAAAATGGATAAAAAGTGTCTCTGAAAAGATAATTCCTGAAAAATTCCCCAAAATGGGGGAGGAAATAGTCTCTCAGACCACAGAAGCCAACAGAACTCCGAACACAAGGGACTCAAGGAGGACAACACCAAGACATATAATAATTAAAATGGCAAAGATCAAAGACAAGAACAGAGTATTAAAAGCAGCCAGAGAGAGAAAAGGTCACCTACAAAGGAAAATCCATCAGGCTATCAACAGACGTCTCAACAGAAACCTTACAGGCCAGAAGAGAATCGCATGATATATTTAATGCAATAGAACAGAAGGGCCTTGAACCAAGAATTCTGTATCCAGCACGATTATAATTTAAATATGAAGGAAGGAGTAAACAATTCCCAGAAAAGTTGAGGGAATGTGCCTCCCACAAACCACTTCTACAGGGTATTTTAAAGGGACTGCTCTAGATGGAAGTACTCCTAAGACTAAATAGATGTCAACAGAGAAAATAAAATCACACCAAAGAAAGCAAACCAACCAAATACTAAGTACAGGCAAAAAATAAATTTAACTACTCACAAAAGCAGTCAAAGGAAACACAAAAGAGTACAAAATAAAATGCCTAACATATAAAGAATGGAGGAGAAGGAATAAGAACGGAGAGAAATAAAGAATCATCTGAACTGTGTTTATAATAGCTTAATATGAGAGTGAAGTTAGATGGTTAGATAGTAAAGAAGCTACCCTTGAACCTTTGGTAACCACAAATCTAAAGCCTGCAATGGCAATAAGTACATATCTTTCAATAATCACCCTAAATGTAAATGGACTGAAAGTACCAATCAAAAGACACAGAGTAACAGAATGGATAAAAAAATCAAGACCAATCTATATGCTGCTTACAAGAGACTCACCTCAAACCCAAAGACATACAGACTAAAAGTAAAGGGGTGGAAAACATATTTCACGCAAACAATAGGGAGAAAAAAGCAGGTGTTGCAGTACTTGTATCAGACAAAATAGACGTCAAAACAAACAAAGTAACAAGAGATAAAGAAGGACATTACATAAAGGTAAAGGGGTCAGTCCAACAAGGGGATATAACCATTATAAATATATATGCACCCAATACAGGAGCACCAACATATGTGAAACAAATACTAACAGAATTAATGGAGGACATATAATGCAATGCATTTGCTCTAGGACACTTCAACACACCACTCACTCCAATACACCAGACAGAAAATAAGTAAGGACACAGAGGCACTGAACAACACACTAGAACAGATGGACCTAACAGACATCTACAGAACTCTACACCCAAAAGCAGCAGACTGCACATTCTTCTCAAGTGCACATGGAACAATCTCCAGAATACACCACATACTAGGCCATAAAAACATCCAAACTAAATTCTAGAGAATGAAATTATACCAACTTCTCAGAACACAAAGGTATAAAACTAGAAATAAATTATACAAAAAAACAAAAAGGCAGACAAACACATGGAGGCATAACAACATGCTCCTAAATAATCAATGGCTCAATGAGCAAATTAAAATAGAGATCAAGCAATATATGGAGACAAATGACAACAGCACAGAGCCCCAACTTCTGTGGGACACAGCAAAGGCAGTTCTAAGCGGAAAGTACATAGCGATCCAGGCCTATTTAAAGAAGGAAGAACAATCCCAAATAGTCTAAAGTCACAATTATTGAAACTGGAAAAAGAAGAACAAATGAGGCCCAAAGTCAGCAGAAGGAGGGACATAATTAAGATCAGAGAAGAAATAAATAAAATTGAGAAGAATAAAAAGTCAGTGAAACCAAGAGCTGGTTCTTTGAGACAATAAACAAAATAGATAAGCCCCTAGCCAGACTTACTAAGAGAAAAAGAGAATCTATACACATCAACAGAATCAGAAATGAGAAAGGAAAAATCACAACAGACCCCACAGAAATACAAAGCATTATTAAAGAATATTATGAGAATCTATATGCTAACAAGCTGGAAAACCTATAAGAAATGGACAACTTCCTAGAAAAATACAACCTTCCAAGATGGACCAAGGAAGAAAAGGAAAATCTAAATAGACCAATTACCAGCAATGAAATTGAATTGGTAATCAAAAAACTACACAAGAACCAAATCCCCAGGCCATAAGGATTCACTGTGGAATTTTATTACACATATAGAGAAGACATAATAACCATTCTCCTTAAAGTTTTCCAAAAAATAGAAGAAGAGGGAATACTTCAAAGCTCATTCTATGAAGCCAGCATCACTCTAACACCAAAACCAGGCAAAGACCCCACCAAAAAAGAAAATTACAAACCAATATCCTTGATGAACACAGATGCAAAATACTCAAAATATTAGCAAACCAAATTCAAAAAACATCAAGAGGATCATATACCATGATCAAGTGAGATTCATCTCAGAG